GGGGTGGACTTAAACCTAATTTAGGCTCAGCCCTCAACAAGCCTAAAGACATTTTGCTGGTGGCAAAATGAATGCAACAAAGGCAATGTAAACACACACGACAAATATGCATCAACAAGGGCCTACATGGACATAAGCCATCAACTCTTTCCAAAGCTATGAAAGGGTAGTGGACAATGCAAGCATACTAAGGCATCCATGAGGTCATCGAAATATAACATATCCCAAAGTGATTCCAAACAACTGAAAACAAGCGAGGATGGCATGCTATGAGAGGCAAACACATTAAGCGCATCTCAAGAGGGATTGCACTGGTAGCTATAGCAATGGCAAGTACATGAATGACTCAAGATGACTAGAATTGTCCCTTAGCTACATCAAAATATGCTCTGTATGCCTTCACAAAGCTAGCCAAAACACATAGCATGGTAGTTTAAATGCTCATTGGCAATGTTATGAGGCAAATCATGCATTGACAAGGCATTTAGCCTCAAGAAAGCATGGATGTTACCAATACAACTAAATACACAGTAGGGCATATTAGACATCATCAAGCATGAAAATCACTAAGGCATGGCCAACAGCACACTTAACTAGAAGTTCCTCAAAGAGGCAAAAAGCGGCCCTTTTCAACGACAGAGTACAGAAGACGGGGCGTGGCCTCCTCTTCTAGGACCTCAAGGCACCATCCTCATCACTGTAAATCCCTCAAATTTCAGGGTCGAGAAAAACGAGGCTCAAACCACAAGTCCCGAGTTCAACCAAAATTGGCCCACAAATGAGCAGCCCTCAAGCTTGAGAGGGTCAAACCACCCCAAAGCTTAAAGCAGCAAAGCCTAACCACCCCACATTTAGAGCACTAAATCAGACTTTTTATATGTTATACACAAAGCTCAAAAACACATGCAAGGTGGAAATAAATTGCCAATGCCAAAAATCTGGGAATATATAGGGACAAGTATTCTTACCCTTGCTAGACCCTACTTCAGCCAATGTGAACCAGCTGGTCTTCAAGCTCAAACCAGCCTCAACAACTCCAAAAAAACAACCCTCAAGCGGCCTCAGCTCAAGAAAAGGTGTGATGGTGGGTGTTGTGTGTAAAACTAAGGTCAAACCTCACAAAACAGATAGAGAGGAGAGAGAGAGATTAGGGATGAGGAGTATGAACCCATAACCCCTAAACTCAAAACCCTCTGATAAATATTGTCTAAGTTGTCAACCTCTAAAAGAGAGAGGAGGCCTCCCTATAGAGCTTCAATTTATAATCTTACAAGACCAACTAGCTAAGAGGAATCCCCCTCCATACACGGTCTATGGAGGGGAGCCAAGTAATGCCAGGCTAGCATGAAAATATCTACAAAAGCAGATGCCACATAGTTGCGCCGTGCAAAACTGCAATTGACCAAAAAAAGATAGCGGCCGACCCATCTATCAGGCCGGGCAGCCAAGCATTTTCGGCCGTGGCACAAAAACACCGGGGCTCAAGCATGGCCGGTGGATGTCTGCCGGATGGCCCACAAGCCATTTCCCTGCCCTCCAAGGCAATAGCACAAGTGTTTTGTGCAAAATCAAGATACAAAACAGTCGAGTGTGGAGAGATCTGAATTTTGAGGCAAGGCGCGTAGCCGAGGCCTCCGGGAACTCAAGACGAACACAAACATGGATGATCACCGAGTGTTTAAGCGGTGACGTCCAAGTCTTGAGGACGGTCAAAAATGGGGTGTCTACACACATTAACTTAAGAAAAATGCTAGAGACGCTCAAAAGGGATTTGGTCACTACTAAAAAAAACACTTTTTGCGACCGCTATAAACCGTCGCAAATAATAAAAAAAATCGCAAAAGACTTTTTGTGACAGCCCATGCGACGGCAAATGGGGGTCGCAAATGTAGGGGTGGCAAATACTTTTTGCGACGGCAAAGCAACGGTCGCAAATTATTTGCGACTGCCTAAACTACTTATGGCGACCACTATTTTGCCGTCGCAAAAAACAAAGAAAAACACTAACATGATTTTTGGCAACCATCTTGTTACCGTCGCAAAAAAATAAATAAATAAAATAAAAATAAATAAATAAATAAAAGTGTAGCATTAAGTACTCTAGAAATAGCAATGACAAGAATTCAGACAGTGTAACATTATAGTTTAATTGAACATTCCATTTGAGTCTCAAAATTTGAGGCACATGTGAAAGTTATTACAACTAAAAACTTGGGAAAAGTTTTTTTATGAAAAAAATACAATCCAGAACTGGCCAATCTTCTCATCAATTTTCTTGCTTGGGTGTTTCTCCACTCTATCGATGAATTGACCAATCTTCTCATCAATTTTCTTTTCAAGTTCTACATTGCAAAGATATGCTCCTGAAAGATATGCTTTGCAAGATATGCTCCTGAAAAGAAACATTTAAATGATTAATTAATGCTCCTGAAAAGAATTTTTGGTTAGAACAATCAATTTATGCTCTAACCATACATTGATCAATTTTGGCCTCTGTGTGAAGCCACCCTCACAATTTTTAATTCTGTTACTATTTTGGATGATGCTCTTCATACTCACCAGTCAAGAGCATGCACAAATTACACATGGCACCCCAGCAATAGACATGATATACACTGACTAGCAGTTACTGATCCTAATTGACTAATCACACTAGTTTGATTAGCCAATCCAGCAGAAGATAACAAGAAAACTAGCATTGATTAATTTGGTGGCTAACTAGAAATCAATTAAACAATTACCCCATAAGGCCTTATTGAGATATACAGTCAAGGATTCTATTATATACATGTACAGTACATGTTTTCCATCATGCCTAAATGTCTATTCTTAACTGTGAGGATATCTTTTTGAGTACCGACATGTGGCAAGGTGACGCCGACGTGTCAGCCGAGGTGCCACGTGTCAGGGTCATGACGCCGAGGTTATCTCGGTCAAGCCGAGGTTATCTTCGAAAATATCGGAATCCGATATAAGCGGATAAGAGATAAGGGACAAGAGTTCTAGAATAAAGAGGAGACTTAGCCAAGATAAGGATAAAGCTCTTAGAGAGTTTATCTTTATCTCTTGAGGAGTCCAAAGCAAGTACTGAACAGGAATCCATAGAAGTCAGGCTCCTACTGGGATTAGGATTGAGGTAACTATAAAAGAAAGGCACCCCCGTGGGTCTAAGGTATGCAATTTTATGCTTTGAGTATTGAGTTTGGCATTATTGATTATCTTTGAGAGATATACTGACTTGATCGTCGGAGTGCCCCCGGGT